TGACTTGGTGACAAACAGGGCTTAAGGTCAAGGAAGCTGTTTAGGAGCTGTGAGTATCTCTAGTGACACATCGAGCACCTTGGGGTACAATTTCTGACCCCCAAGATTTTTCCATTTGAGTCCTACTACTTCTTTCCTGTCTCCGTGTGCTGTCCACCTCATGTCCATGCTCAAAGCTGCCTGGGCCTGGAGAACCCAGCACCCTGCTTTACTCTTTCACACAAACCCCTAGACTTTCACCTCCTATCTATGTAACACATTGAGTGGGGTCAGTCAATTCAGACTTAACCCAAAGTCCTGAGGTCCTGGCACAGAAGACAAATGTATGCTTGGCTGCCCCTCTGTGCAATCTCTGAGTGCATACAGCCAGTTGTGGTGGCCTATCTCCACTGTTCAAATGGAGAACTCAGGTCTTCGGTTATAAATCAACTCTTTCCATGGTGCTCTTGGTTATTAAAATGACCAGAGAATGCCAGGTCTAGACAGAGGAGGTCTGAAAGACACCTGTGAACACTCTGCCTGGCACCGCCACTCACACCATCCATTACCATGAAGTGCTCTTGCACCAGGTCTTGAGGCATGGCAATGAACTTAGTGTCCTCATCGATCCACTCCACATCCATGTCGTCAGCCATAGGCCCAGGAGAATTTGTTGTTGGTCCTGTCATAGCATTTGGCTCAAATCCTTGGGCCTCTGAAGGAGGTGGCTCAGCCTCTGCATTTGGCTGGGGAACCATCACCAGACCTATTAATGTAGCTGCAGGAGACAAATCCCCAGATGACCACCTTGGCCTGATGCTTTTGAACATCAGAGATAACCCCAGGCTGCCGGAGGAGCCAGAGCCCTGACCCTACAGCAGGAAACCTTCCTAGACTGTGGTCCCAATGCTGTGGGGTTGCAGGCTCCTCATTCCACTTTGCCCAACTCCAGAAGTAGGTGACAACTCATGTACCTGTTACTTGAAGATCTTCAGGATTAGGAGGGTGTTAGAAGTCCAATAATGGTTGGACCAGAGCTTGGGATTGGACCAGATCCTCCAGGAGTGTTGTTCAGGCCCACCACTGAACCTGCATTCTCAGGAGTTAGGTAGCACAAAGTGCCCTTTCTATCATCCTCCTTGTGCCAGATTCACTGGGAGGGCACCTGACATTCTGACAAATCTCTGCCTAGTTCAAGGAATCTCCGAGTATCAAGGCAGTCAGGAAGGCTAACTCCACAAATCAGGGCCCTCTTTTCATATCCATTCCAACTAAACTGCATCCACAGCCAAGAATGGATGGTGGACTTTTGTACAGATGGAGTGTCCTGCTCACAGCAGAAAGAACTAGAGGCAATTGCAGAAAGTCCTGGAGTGAGAGTTGGGACCAGACATTGCTCTAGCTTTTTTTCAGGTCTGTTTTCCATCTGTGGTGAGCCACACTGCCTCTACTTCCTAATATCCTCTCGGAGGAGGTGGCAGGCCAGTGAAGGAATGTGCATCTGACCCTGGATTCCAAAGTCAAGACCCTGTCCTCTGCGATAATATCAGTCTGCTGGACTTTACCCACAGGTAAATATGGGTAGGATGACTTATGTTATGATACCAGGTCAGCCTGACAGAGGAGAATCTACTGAGTTAGTCCCTAATGATACAGAATGATTATCATTCCACTGGGAGAGAAAAATCAGTTTGTATAAGCAGGTATCCACAGAATGTCCCTGGTCCAGGTCTTGCCAGTCACGACACCCACGTACCTGCTTCTCACTCTGCCTAATTGTCAGCTCTTCACCAGATAGGATTGTATGGAGAATTTTTATACCCAATGAAATGCCCACATTTGGTCCTTTCTTAGAAACAATAGATTTTCTGAAGTTTTCAGCTAAAATCTTGATGAGCTTTGATGCCCCGGAGAACTCAACCTTCACTGGGTCAGTCCTCATCACTGAGGTGTAAGAGGGTGAGACAGGAGGACAAAGCAGAAGCCACAGAAGACAGAGATGGGGATGGACCTGTCACATCATGCTCATTGTGATCCAGGCAGTCCTGGATTCAGTGCTGTATGTTTCTGGCATTCAGCTCTCACTTCTTCTGAGTAGGCTGTGAGGGGATATTGGTATTTACTAACCCAAGGAGGTTCATCACCAAAGAGGGCCCCTTCCTTTCATCAAAGATTCAGAGAGGCTGAGTTGACACCATCTGTGTGGGATATGGCTTCCTGTATATGGATTCCAGTGTCATTGCTCTCTTCCTCCTGGAGGATAAACTGACCTTGTGTCAAAGAGAGCTCAAGGTCAAGGATGTGTTGAGGAACTGTGGGTCCCTGCAGTGCACCTGGGCCTATACATTCTGACCTCAAGGTTTTCCCACTGGGACTCTAAATTGCCTTTTCTGGTCTCAGGGTGGTGTCCAGCTCTTGGTCTGGCTCACTGACTCCTAATCTGGTGAATTGAGCAACCCTAATTTTTAATACAAACCTCCAGAGTATAACCTCCTCAAAGAGTGTGGAGGCAGGTCCTGGGCACTCACCTAAATGCCTGAGGTTCTAGCACATGGACAAATGAAGTCCTAACTGTTGCACAGCTACACACAGCCACACCCACACAGTAGCCCACACTGTTCTCGGACATGCCTGGCTAGACAATAACACAGATTTGAGGTAATAGAGCTGGGTTCATAACTGGCCCCTATTCCAGCCAAGTGTCTTACCCTGGACAGGTCATTGTGGTTCTCACGTCCTCCCCACTCTCCCCTTTTTTCTCATTGAGTAGTCACCCTAGCATCTGCTAGCTAGGAAACCCTTGCTTTTACGTGCCCATAGCTACCTGTGTTACTTGTGGCACTCAGAACAGTTGGAAGATGTAGGTAATGCACTAATATGGAGAAGGGACAATTAGAAGGGTAGATAAGGGCAACAACAAAAAAAATGAAATGCAGGCATTGCAGTACACATCTTCAATTGCCATACTTTGGAGGTTCGGGGAAGAGCATCTCAAGTTCAAGGCCATACTGAGCCACATAGGAAGATGCTGTCCCTCAAATGAATAAAAAACGAAACACAACTCTACCCAAGCCTGAGTTCCATAATGGTATGAAGGGAAGATCACAAATGTGTATATAGAAATGGAAACATATGGACAAAATGGCTTATGCAAGCTCACATATTTACATGCACATTCACAGCCCTGTGTACCCCTGGAAGTGTTTGAGGGTATTCAGGACACTGCATGATATTTGAAGATCTGGGAGGAATGTGGAGGTGTGGAGACCACCCTTATGGTGGGAACAAGGTCCTGGGTGGACCTGGACAGACAGGTTCTCTGTCAGGACTAGGGCTGATCCTGGCTTTGGGAGAGGCAGGTATCACAAGAAACCCTTCCTGTTATCCTTGTGGTACCAGATTCCCACTCTGATGAACGTCTCCTCTACTCAAGGCCACTTGAGAGAGCATCAAGGGCACTGAGAATGGCTAACTTCACACAGTAATGCCATCCAAACAAAACTATACACAGACACACAAATGAGGATGGGCTTTCATGAAGGTAAGTAAAAATACTGCTCCCAGTGCCACAAAGCAGAATGAACTGCAGGCAGCAGTAAGAATGCACAGAAACAGCAAAGTGAACCATGCAGCTGCTCTTGTAGATTGCAGGGCTGAGCTTGCCCTCTTTGTGCAACATCAACTGCCTCCACTTCCTCCTGCCCTCACAGAGGAGGTGACAACCCTAGAAAGGAGTGATGCTAGGACCCAGGATTCCAATATCAGGGCTCTGTCCTGAAGGAGAATCTCAGGCTGATGGATAGGAGCTACACTATAGGCAGTCCTAGGTAGGACGCCCTGGGTTATGGTGCTTGGTGTGCCTGCCAAAGGAGGAGCTGCTGCGTGATCCCCAAGGTCCACCTTTCGCTTTCTCTCTTCTGAGAGAGCAACAAAGACTGCTATCAGGAGGGTTCCCCAGAGTGTAAGTGGCCCAGGTAATGCCGGCCCTGACACCCACACATCTGCTTCCTCTCCTTGCCCAATTTTGGTCTCCAGAGAAGATTCTTTCTCTTCATCACATAGAGTTCTACGTATAATATTTATTATCAATAAATTGTTAACGCATGGCCCACTCCTTCAAACCAAATATTTTCTACAATTCTTGACTAAAAATTGGCGTGAGCTTTATGTCCATCAACTGATCAGACATCACCCAGGAAGGCCTGGGTGATGTATAAGAGGATGAGAAAAATGACAAGGGCAAAGTCACAGAACACAGAGATGGAGGTTGATGTGTTATAACACACTGACTGTAGTCACCCAGTGAGTACGAGATCAGATGGTGTCATGAACCTGCCATTCAACACTCAACTCTTTCTGAGCACACTGTGAGGAGCCCTTGATCCAAGCCATTCTGAGGAGTGTGTCACCCAGGAGGGCACCTGCCCTGCCCACACCCACCCTTCCATGGAAGGTGCTGTGAGGCCAAGTTGGCAGTTGTGTGAGATATGGCTTCCTTGATTCAGGTTCCCTTATCATTCCCATTCTCCTTGAAGCTAAAATGACCTGTCATCACTAGGTATCAAAGTTAAGGTCACTGTTCCTGATCCTGGGGACCCTGTGATATGCCCTTCACATTCATGCTCCAAGACCTTACCATGGTGACTCTAAGTCATTCTTTCCTCCCTCAGGAAGCTGTCCAGCTTCTGCTCATGCTCACAGCCTCTTGGGCACCCACTACCCAATCTATCCTTTCACGCAAACGTACAGGCTCAAACTCCCTCTCACTTTCACTAAAGGAGTGAGGCCAATCATTCAGAATTCACTCAGAGTTCTGGCACAGGTGATCAATCAGGGACTGGCTGTCCTGTTCCATTCCTGAATCTACATAGTAACTGCGTCGGCCTTTGTGCAGTGTACAAAGTGGAGTTGAATTATCTATCAGATCAAGAAAATGGCCCTGCTCAGGTTGCTCCCTGGATTTCAATGGGAAAAATGTCCCTGCACCAGGGAATGCCAGATTTGGCCAGAAGGGTCACAAGAATGCCTGCCTCCACTATGATTGCACAACCACTTACATCGGTTAGCATTAATTGCTCTGCCACCAATTTGGGCTAGAATGTCAAGAGTTGAGTTTTATACTTAATCAGTACCTTTTCTACGGTCACAGATCAAGGCCAGGTAGACTCACATGATGGAACCGGCATCGTTGCCTGATGGAGCTCTGGAGTCTCTTTGGGAGCTGTCTCAAACTCCACAGCTTTTGAACGAGATAATTTGAGTTCCACATCCTCCAAAATAGGTTCTGAAGTTGGTTCCACACCTTGATGTGGTGATACAACTACAGGAAGAGACAAGATCCCATAATTCTACCTTGCCTTCCAAAGGCAGAGATTATGCTAGGTTTACTTAGTTGACTGACTCTGAAGGATGAGGCATTGGGATATCACGTACAGGGATCATCCTACTGAGTCCCAGAATCATCCTCTAGGAGTAATAACCTGAGCCACCTACTCTGGACAACAAACTGGGCCAAGAGCAGGACACTGCATTGCTAAGTCACAGCAGTGGAAATCCTCTGGGGTCACCATTTGAACACTCTGTTGAGTTCATGCTCTGTTGCGGTGAACCTTCGGTTGCTGTCCCTGGTTGTGGGGATGAAGATGGGGTCCCAGAACAGCACAGAAGGCACCATTTTATCCAGAATTTCTGCCTTGGAGAGTTTCTCCTGGGAGACGTCACAGAGGAAGTTGGCTGGCACATGTTCTCCCTGGTTTGGGGCCAAAGAGGGACAGTTCAAGCATGGAGACAGTAGCTCACTGGAAAAAGGACTTTGTCATAGAGTCAAGTGACAAATACACACAGACACACAGACACACAAACACACACCCACAAGAGGAGGGATCTGTTGTGGTCTCTGAGAGATTAGACTGGTTTGTGTGCCCCTCCTTCAACTGCCCTGTCCTGCCCTCTGTCACCTTTGGGGTCCTCTGGAAACATCTCCACTGGCATTGTGGTCAAATACTGATGTAGTTTCTCCAGACAGAGGCTGGCCTCCAGGGTTGGTTCTCCTGGAACGTGAGCCTCTGCACAATGGGAGACATTGAGAAAACATCCTTTACTCTATAAGGTTTAGAGAGATATGAGTTTGTTACAGTGGATCAGGACAGTGCTTGCCTGGCCAACAGGGTTCTAAATTCTCTGGCCCATATCCAGGAAGTGAGGGCATCTCTGAAGGTCTCCTCAACTGACACTTTGTCTCAGACAAGACATCTCCTAGGTTCACTATGCTGCTGAATGCTTCCTGGACTGCTCCATGTGGAAAACTATACATTGTCACACCCACATCCCCCAGACCACTGTCTCCAGATGGGTCTGAATGTGCCAGTGCCCAACTGTGAGGAAATCAAGTTAGGTTCACACCCAGTGCCTCTTTCCAACAAGGCATGTGACCTCAGACAGGTTATTCTGGCTCTCATGACTTTCCTTGTTTCATTACTTGTACTTTTGGGCGCATCCTAGTATCTGTCTCATAGAAAGGCCTGAGTTAGCCATGACTGTCTTACCTGTCATAGTCTGGAACCCTCAGAGACAGCTGGCACCTGATGCACATGCACTAACTTAGAGATGGGACAATTGAAAAGAAGGAGGAAAACAATATAATGCAGACCAAGTGTGGTAGTCTCCACACTTAAGAGGCTAAGGGAAGAGCATCTAGAGTTAAAGGCTACCCTGATCTCCATAACCAGTCCTCATCTCTTATAAAAATAAAATTGAAACACAACTCAACACAGACATGAATAGCACAGTGCTAGCTAGAGAAAAATCACAACTGTATGCATAGGGATGTGTACATACAGACACACAAAGGCTTATTATGAACATCTACATTCACAGATAATCACATATGCTCTCACAGATACGCATGGCCATGTGTGTGAACACAGGCTCACAAGCAGACACACTGACAAGGATGAGGAATTCTGACTCCCTGACTGCAAAAATGCAGCCGGTCCACAGGGTTGACTAACATCTGCTCTACACTTACATTCATTTGAAGAGCTGAAGCCAAGACAGCCTTCCTAGACTGGTTTTATTCCTCTTCTTTGTACACATTTCCAAATGGTAAAATCTACTGGTTGAAACTTGCTTTCAGGCATCAAACGTTGTCAGTTCTCAAAATTATGCCTGAATTCTGCCCTTCTTGAAGGCAGTAGGGCTATGTGTTATTATTCTGTCTGCCTCATGATCTTGTATTAATATCTTAATAAAGGTGTCTCCCTCCCTGTCTTGTGTCTCAGCACTCCAGTACGACTTGCAGAGTCATCCAGCCAAAGCAGCCTTCGGAGGCTATGGTCCTAGATGACTACAAGCTCGAGAAGGCCTGAGCATGGACACTCAACTGGGCTGCTTCCAAATTCCTGACCCACAGAAAAAGAGTGTAGTATTTTTGCTTGTTTTACTATGCTAAATGTTAGAGAAATCTCTTGCACAGCTAAAGGAAACTTACAGATAACAGATGGCAGGCCCATATGCTAACTACTGGTGGCATCCAGCACTGTTCTACAACCTCAGGGTCTCACACTGGGAGCCCAGGTTCATCGTGACACCTGCTCTACAAGAAAGCATCTATGGCCTCAGCAACAACCCTACCACGTGCATCTGATGGGGGTTGATACTTAACAAAACTGAAGTGATGAAGTGTGCTAAGGGAGCTCTGCCTCATGGACTCCTCCTCAGCTCAGTCACTGCTAGAAGCTGGGGTGTGGGAATTGTTTCTCTCATAGAAGAAAGATCTCTGTTATCTCAACATGCTCCTTAATTTACCTGCATTTCCAGAATCTGAAATTTTTTCAAGTTGAAATGTAACCATGTGACAACTTTCTGATAATCGGTGTCTCTGTAGAACATTCTTCATATCTGTAAATTAGAAAAACAAGGATTTTATATTCAAACAATTATCTTCAGATATCCATTATTTTGTATAAATATCTACAACATATATAGAAATATGAAAGCATGTATTACCAATTGTATTTAAAAATCTGGAAGAATGTATATCAAATTGATTAGCCTTACAAAATTGGATCAATATCAATTTATACTTCTAGTGCTCAATTATACCAACAGTCAAGGTAAACAGAAATATACATAGAAAACCCTAAGTAAGTTTGAATCATGTTCACTGTTTGATGTTCTTCTTTCTTTTCTGTTTGCCATCATTATCTTGTTCATGTATGCATTTGGCTTGACATGACTGTAGCCATCCTGGTTCATAACCACTATGGTGGTCCCAGAGTAACCCTAGTCAGTTTTTCCAACAATCACTATTAGACAAAACCACTAGAGACATTCATGGAGCTTTAAATAGGGATCCTGGCTCCCAGATGCACCTGACTCTCAATATTAAGATAAACTGAGAGCATTCCAGCCAGAATGAAGTCACTTTTGTCCTAACTCACAAATATGCCATTCTTTCTAACCCATATTTAGGGAATCCAAGTGGTCTTGCTGCCACCCAGAGCCATGCTTCTGGCAGTAACTCCCCCCAATAAATTCTACTCTGTGCAACTGTAGAAATGTCTAGCCCTCGTACTTTGGTCTCACAGCACCTAGGGTGGGCCACATACACTAGGACCAAGTTGTCCTAAATACTGTTGAAGACAATAAATGGAACCCACATGCTTAGCTCTGTTACCTCTCAAAATTTCACTAATATGAATGCTATTTTCAAGATATGACATGCATACATTTTTGTGGAACTGGGGTTTGAATTCAACATGCTCTACTGTTTGAACCACACCTCCAGACCATTTTTCTCTGGGTATTTTGGAGATGGGGTCTCACAAAGTATTCTCCTGTGCTGGCCTCAAACTATGACCCTCCTGTTCTCAGCCTCCCAGTAGCCAGGATCACAGGCATGAGCCACTGTTGCCCAACAAGCCCTTTGTTTGTTTGTTATGCATCTATTTAGTTTGGCAGCACTGAGGATTTACCTCAACACCTCAAGCAAACTACCCCTTGAGCCAGTTCTTTTCCTTTTTTCTTTGAGGGAGTTGTTAACAAGGTTTTTTTTAATAAACTTTTTATTAGGATATTCGTTATATGGGGGGATTGACAACAATTCCGAATAGACTTGTACTGTACATTGGTTACATTGTCCCCATTATCTCTTCCCATTAACCCTCTCCCCACCCCACTTAAAGCAATTGCAAGTTTTCTCAGTTCTACTTCACAGAGGTACATGAAGTCCATCAACCATATACCATCACGTTAATCTCCTTCATTTACTCTCCTCCTCCCACTAGTACACCAATACACACTGTATCCATTTTACAGCCCTGTTTTTCATTATTAATATTTAAGTTAGTGTTCAAAGGGGTTTCTCAATGTATGCCCAGTTGGGTAGACTCACCAGTTCTTTGGCTTTTAGTTTAGTTTTTTTTTTTTCAAGTAGACTCTTGCACTTTGGCCTGGGCCAACTTGGTCCCTCAATCCTCCTTATTTCTGTCTTCTGAATAGCTGGGATTGCCAGCCTGAACCACGTAACAAAGCTTGATTTTATAATAGGGTCTTGCTAGTTCCTAATCAAGTTGAGCCTGAGACTCAATCTTTTTCTCCATTTCCAGGGTAGGTGGGATTACAGGCATTTGCCACCACAGCCAGCCAACATGCCCTATTCTGAAGTTCAAAGCTGACTCATTTTCTACATATATGTTTATCCATGCAACCACCACTCAGATCAAGAAGCAGAAATTTATTATACCTCATAAGCACAATTTTGATGTTAGGTTGGCATGCAGTTTGTGAATGAGATTATTTTTAGAAGGGCACAATTCTACAAGGGTAAAGAGAAAAGAAAGATAAGAGCAATCTAATTTTGGAAGCTGGAGCTCACTGGGATAAATTGAATAGTACATGGACAAGTAGAACTGACCTGGCATATCCAGGAAAATTGAAACCTAAGACAGCAATGGGGAAAGCCCAGAGGGAAGTCAATTTAAATAGAATGCTAGGAAGGTGTTCAGAATTAGTAGAACCAAGTATTCTAACAGGATGATTGTGAACTTAGATTCCAAGTGTAATGGCACATACCTGTAAGCTCAGCACTCAGGAGGCTGAAGCCAAACAATCACACATCAAGGCTATCCTGGACTACATAGGGAGAAGGAAGGGAAAGAGGAAGGGGAAGGAAAGGAGAAAGGAAAAAAAAGAATAATCTATAACGTAAGTGAACTTCAAAAAAGTCAGTGTCACAAAAGACAAAGGAGGATCAACCAGATTAAAGGAAACTAAAGAAACATGACAGCTAAATGGAATGCCTGATCTTGATTTTATGAAAAGATAAAGATTCAATGTGGTTGAGATGTCAGTTCTTCCTAACGTGACCTATAGATTCCATGCAACCCAACTGAAACCCCAGCAAGCTGCTTTATAGATAATGACAAGCAGACTTAAGAGTTTAAAACAGGTACATGAATGAAACAGGAAGTTCTCAAAGGGAGAGGTACAAATGACCAGTATATACAAGAAGAAATGTTCAACTTCCCTGGCTACAACAGATATGCAAATCACAACAACACTTACATTTCATCTCACCCCGGTTAGAATGGCTGTAATCAAGGGCAATAATAACCACAAATGCTGGCGAGGATGTGGTGAAATGGAACCCTTAAACATGCTGGTGGGAATGCAAATTAGTACAACCACTTCAGAAAGCAGTCTGGAGATTCCTCAGAAAGCTAAAGCTAGAACTGCCATATGATCCACTGATACTGCCCCTGGGCATCTGCCCAAAGGAACATAAGACAGGATACAATAAAAACACCTGTGCACCCATGTTCATCAGAGCATGACTCACAATAGCCAAGCTGTGGGAACAACCCAGGTATCCTGCAACTGATGAATGCATAAGAAAATGTGGTGTATACACACAGGAGTTTTACTCAGCCAGAAGGGATAATGATGTGTGGTTTGAAAGTGAATGCATACAATTGGAAGACATCATGTTAAGTGAAGTTAGCCAGGATCAGAAACACAAAGGCCGTATGTTTCTCTCATACGTGGAAGATAGGCCCAAAAGAAAAACATACAAACTCAGATGTAGAACGTGTTTGTCATAGTAGAACTGTTCCATGGAACTCAGGGAAAGAGGGAAAGGAAAAGAGAATGACAGAGCATCAGTAATATCATAAAACATAACATCTGTGAAGGTAGAGGATATGAGGGTGTGTACTGAAAGCTGTTGAAAAAGGGGGGGTGGGAGGTAAAGGGGTAAGGGAGAGCAACAGAAGGGACTGAACAGAACAAAATACACTCACAGAGGGGAAACACAGAGAAACCCTTTGAACGTCAACTTAAATATTAATAATGAAACAAGAACTATAAAACAGGTACAGTGTGTGTCTGGGGGTACTAGTGGGAGGAGGAAGGGTGAATAAAGGAGATTAATATGAGCATATACCTTAGATGGACTTCATATACTTATATGAAATAGAACAAAGAAATCTCTTGCAAATGCTTTAAGTGAGGTGATTTTTAGGAGGAGAGATGATCAGGGCAATCTAACTAATGTACAATATAATCCTAATCAGAACTAACACTATGAGTTCCCCCCATATAACAAATACATCACAATAAAAATTTTTTATAATAAAAATAGTTTCTGCCAGGTATCGAGGGGGTGGTAGGGAGAGGGAAAGGGCGGAGTGGGTGGAGGGGCAGGGGGGAGAAATGACCCAAGCATTTTATGCACATATGAATAATAAAACAGTAAAAAATTTTTAAAAAGTAAATAAATGAGAAGAAGAGAAAAGAAAATCTCTAGTTTACATGGACTAGAAAGGCAGGAGCTGTGGATATAGCTCAGAGGTTGACTGTGTGCCTAGCAGCCACAAGGCTCTGAGTTCAATCACAGCACAGCAGGAAAAAAAAAGGCAAAAGATTCAGATCAGCAAGCATGATACTGAAGAATGAGGTCAGAGAACTGACACTACCCAATTTTGAGACTTACCATTTACACTAATAAGAAGTGTGGTGTTAGTGAAAGCATAGAAGGTGGATCACAAGTTCACAATTGAGTCCAGAAATAGATTCACAAATACAGAAAAGTGATTTTCTTTGGCAGCGGGGTGTGGCAGTGCTGAGTTTGAATTCAGGACCTCGCATTTGTTAGGCAGGCACTCTTAGCTTGGGTCACACCCTCAGTCCTTTTTGTTTTAGTTGTTTTTCACATAAGATCTGGTGCTTTTTGCCCAGGTTGGCCTCAGACAGTGATCCTGCTATGGACAGTCTCCTATGTAGCTGGGATTAGAGACATGCACCTTCACACCCAGCTTATTTGTCAAGATGAACTCACATTAAATTTTTGCTCCCACTGACCATCAACCACTACCTCTTGATCTCCACCTCCAGAGCAGCTGAGGTTAAAAACATGAGCCACCACCTCTGGCTATAAAGTGATTCCTGACAGAGGAGCAAAGGAAGTTCAATGGAGAAAGGACAGTCTATTCCATAGAAGATGCTGGATATCCACATGTAGTAAATAAGTAAATCTAGACACTGAGTTACAATTTTTACAATAATTAATGCAAAATGGACCACAGAGACACATGTAAAACTTATGTTATGAAAATAACATAGAAGAAAACCTAGGTGACCTTGGGCTTTCTCCACAAAAATGTGTCAAAATGCAGTAAACACTGAATTTTGGATGAATCTAAAATAACCTACTGCAAACACTTTATTTTGTAGACAACAAACTCAGGCCCATAGAGATATTCTGAATTATCTAAGGTCCAGGCTTCATTTCTTTTCTTTATGGAAGTATAAAATGCATGGATAATTACTTCTAAAGAATTAGAATTGTGCCAAATTGTAATGTCAGTACTTGTTAACTTGAACACAGATTTTTTTTTTTTTTTGGTGACACGGGTTTGAACTCAAGACCTCATGCTTTGTAAGCAAGCACTCTTACTACTTGAGCCACTCTGCCAGCCCCAGAATTTTTTAAATGAGTAAGAAGTGTGATTAGGAATAGCTTCTCTTCTTGTAAGTAACAGAAGAAGAATGGAGGGCTGAGGATACAGCTCACTGGGAGAACACTTGCCTAACATGTACAAGGCTCTGGTTTCCTTCCCCAGAACCACACACACACAAAAAAAGATGGACTTCATTAATATTCTATTTATTGTGATCTCTATACTACATGCACAAATGTGTACACACAATTTAATGAATAATAAATACTTACATACTCTTTAGATTACTTGAAGAAAATAATTTACTAATATACTTGAAGCCTTGCCATTCTTCTCCCCAGACATAACCACTCTTGTGAACTTTGGGAAATCTGGACATTGCTCTTTGTTTTTATCATGTTTTAGCTATTCCTAAACAAGATAGCAATTAGTTTTGTATGTTTTTGCTGTGTTTGTTCTTTTGGGGGTTCACTGAATTTCCTTAAAGATCTATACTCTTAATAAAATTTAGAAAAAAAATTTAAACAGTGAGTATATTTTTTATCAAAATTAAAGAACACCAGAAGATTTGTCTTTCAAAATGATCAACTATCAAGCCAAAGCACTTACTCTTCACAACATGCTTTTAGAGCTGACCAAAAGGTAAGAGCAGACCAAAAGGTAAGCGCAGTCCTCATTCTATAGTGCTGAGAAATCATGAAAAAATAAAAGGTAAAGAACAGAGGCCAGGCACAGTGGTTCATGCCTGTACAAATCCCAGCTACTTGGGAAGCAGAGATTAGGAGATCACAATTCTAGTACAGACCAGGCAAAAAGTTAGCAAGACCTGGTCTAGAGGTGTGGCTCAAGTGGTAGACTGCCTGTGCAAACACAAGGCCCTGAGTTCAAAGTCCAGTACCACCAAACAAACCCCAAAAGGTTGCAAGACCCCCATCTCTATCAACAAGTTAGGCATGGTGGTATGCACCTGTAATCCTTCTGCATGAGGTCTCACAGTGAGGAGGATTGAGGTCTGAGACCCACCCGAGGTGGGTGACTACTACTCAAGACTGTCAACTGAGTACTGGTGGCTCATCTCTGCAATCCTAGCTACACACAAAACAGAGATCAGGAGGACTGTGGTTCAAAGCCAGCCTGGCCAAATAGTTCATGACACCTTATCTCAAAAGTACTCAACACAGACACAAAAAAAGAGTTGTTGAAGTGGCTCAAGTGGTAGAGCACCTGCCTAGCAAATGAGAGGCTCTGAGTTCAAACCCCAGTACCACCAATGAATAGATAGATAAAGAGTTTCACACAGGGCTAGCCTTACTTTTTTTTTTTTTTTTTTTTTGTGGGACTGTATTTGAGCTCAGGACCTTCCACCTGCTAGGCAGGCACTCTACTGCTCAAGTTGTTCTGCAAACCCTACCTGGCTGTACTTTCTGAATCCCATTTTTCCTTTCAAATCTTTTCAAGTCTCTAAATCCCATCACTTCAGTTATATAAGTAACTGAAAATACCCTTGCAGTGAGCTGCTGAAGACCCACGGAGCACTCTCCCTCTCCTAAGAGTTATTTCAGTAGAAAAATCAGAAAGCACTTCCAAAAATGATTTCTGCTAAAGAATGTTGTTCTTGATCAAACAAAGTTCCTAACATTCACTTGCAACAGTAAATTACCTTCCTCTCACCTGTCATGGCACCTTAGATCCTTGGCAATAAAACTTAGTCATTAAGACCAGATGGCTTCCTTCTGGGAAAGCTTCAGCTGATGGTCGATTATTGACCCTAGGTAATGACAGTTAGGAGTAGTACAGTATAGTGAGGCAGCTTTCATGTGAGTGATGAATTGTAAGATTTATAAATTAATGCTGGTGTAGTGGTCACACCTGTAATGCCAGCAATTGGGCAGCTGAGGCAGGAGGCCAGCCTGGGCCATGATGCACACCTTGTCTCAAAAAAATTAAAATAGGCTGACAACATGGCTCAAGTGGTAGAGCACTTGCCTAGCATGCACGAGGCCCTGGGGTGTGTTAAAATCACAAATACCATATCACTCTTACTTGACCAGGAAGGTAGTCAAGGACACTGTTCTGTTCTTTAATATTTACCTCAGGTGACTTTGAGTTTGGGGGCTGAACTGCAGCTCAAGAGTTGGAGTACCTCCCTAGGTGGCACAAGGCCTGAATTCACACCCTAATGACACACAAAAAAAGTACTGAGCAAATATGATGTTCAAAAGATGCCTCACTGCACAAGTACACCGTGACAGTGAATGTGCAGAATCTTAACTCAACATTATGACAACCAAGTTCCTGGGCATAACAAGGTGAACTTCAAAACTACTTCCACATTAAAATAATGCTCACCCTTTTTAGTCATCTCAGAGGTCAGCAGTCCTTGTCTTCCAGAAGAATTTCTCATACTGATGTCAGCCAGCACATGTAGAAATGACAGTTCTGATTTTAAATGTCCAAGCTGGCTTCTCAGATCTTCTGAAGGGTCCATCACGCAGAATCTGATTTGTGTATTTCCTGAAATGATTTTCTAAAAAAGCAAGTATCAGAAAAAGTTATTCCAACTGCTAATAATTATTTCACCTAATACCCAATTTTCCTCAAAACATTCTCATTTTGTTCCTCATTACCTCTTCACATTAACCTGAGGATTTCCTCAAAACCAATGTGACTACTAACACCACAATTTCAAGTTTCAACCAAAAACACCCAGTTACACTACTGTATTGGACACCTGGGTGACATAGTGACAAACATTTTCTCAAAACAGCATCGAGAGGAGCCCTGAGCAGCCATGGCTGTAGAGCAGGATGCCAGCACTGCAGCGCAGTGGGAGCTGAGCACAGGTAGCTTTGAATGTCTCTGACCTGCAAGGTGGTGAACTACATCATGAAGTTAATCTCACCTGTCAACTTCATGTCCACATCCCTAATTCCATGGTTATGAGGATGACCTAACATTACAAGCACTGTGGTGATATGTTTTCACATTTTCAAATAATTCAACCAGTGGAGTACATTAATTTAACTTGATCTCTGGTCACAGAAAGTATTTCTGGAAATAATTGACATCAAAGTATTTTGTGAAATGAAAGAATATAGAATACAGAATATTGCAGCTGTAGTTGCCAAATATTTGGAAAGTCACAAGTGTAAAGATTTAGGTTATTTTAAGAAGCTATATTTATATATAAACACTATATGAATATATATGCATACATACATATATACATATATCCTTAAAATTTATTAAATTCAAAAATGATAAAAATTCAAAATTAAGGAAGGTAGTTTTGATAAACTTGCAATTTGGGCTTCTTTCAGGAGCACAGGTCATAAAATAGCGAATGACTGTAAATGCATCACATGTGAATGCTACATTGAGTAATAGCTTTCAACTGCAAAGACTATAGACACTAATTGCTGTATGCTCTATTTCACAAGAACTAACACTTAATAACTTGGAGAACCTTTGAAATTTTATAAACTATTACCTTACAAATGTCCAAAAAAGTTGGCCCCAAAACTCCTAGACATCATAAACAGCTTCAGCAATGTAGAAGGATACAAAATCAACTTACAAAAGTCACTAGCCTTTCTATACACCAACAATGAACCAATTGAGAAAGAATTTGGAAAACAATTCCATTTACGATAGCCTCAAAAAAATTCAAATACCAAGGAATAAACTTAACAAAGGCCATAAACAAACTCTATTACGGGAACTAAAAAGAAGTGACCTCTGTAAGGGGAACTACTGAAGAAAGAGATCAAGGAAGACTATAGAAGATGGAAAGATCTCCCATGCTCATGGATTGGCAGAATAAACATAGCCAAAATGGCTATACTACCAAAAGCAATCTACAGGTTCAACACAATTCCCATTAAAATCCCAATGAAATTCATCATAGAAATTGAAAAACCTAAAGTTCATTTGGAAACACAAAAGACCATGAATACCAAGACAATACTGAGCAAAAAGACCAATGCTGCAGGTATCACAATACCCAACTTCAAACTATACTACAGAGCCATAGCAATAAAAGCGGCATGGGAGTGGCACAAAAACAGATATGAAGAACAGCAGAACAGAATAGAGGACCTGGATATGAATCCACACAGCTGCACCCATCTTATTTTCAACAAAGATGACAAAAAAAAAAAAAAAGATGGAGAAAAGACAGCCTCTTCAACAACGTTGCTGGGAAAAGTTTCTGCAGGTTATCTGCCTGCAGAAAACTGAAACTAGATCCATGCCTGTCACCCTGTACTAGTATCTACTCAAAGTGGATTAAGGACCTTATTATCAGTCCCCAAACCTTGAAGGTAGTACACAAAAGAGTAGGGAAGCAATAGATATAGGCAAGGACTTCCTCAGAGGAACTGCAGCAGCCCAGCAACTAAGAGAAAGGCTAGACAAATGGGGCTACATGAAATTAAAAAGCTATTGCACAACAAAATAAATGGTCTCTAAACTGAAAAGACCACCCACAGACTGGGAGGAAATATTTGCTAGCTATACATCAGACAAAGGACTGATAACCAGATTATATAGAGAGCTCAAAAAAACCAAACTCCCCAAAAATGAATAAACCAGTAAAGAATTGGGCAACTGACTGAACAGAACTTTTTTAAAGAAGCCCAAATGGCCAAAAACACATGAAAAAATGCCTACCATCACTAGCCACAAAGGAAATGCAAATCAAAAGCACACTAAGATTCCACCTCACTCCTGTTAGAATAGCTACCATCAAGAACACCACCACCAATTGTTGGCAAGGATGAGGGGGGAAAGGAATCCTCATACACTGCTGGTGGGAATGTAAGCTAGTACAACCACTTTGGAAAACAATATGGAGGCTTCTTAAAACACTAAATATAGAATTGCTATATGATCCAGCAATCCCTTTCCTAGGGATATACCCGAAGGAATGCGATTCAGATTCTTACAAAGGGACCTGCACACCCATGTTTATGCAGCACTATTTACAATAACCAAGCTATTGAAACAGCCAAGATGCCCCATTGCCAATGACTGGATTAAGAAAATGTGGTATTTATATGCAATGGAATTTTACTTAGCCACAAAGAAGAAATGAAATTTTGTCATTCTCAAGTAATGGATGGAACTGGAGAACATCATCTTAAGCAAAGTTAGCCAGGCTCAGAAGGCCAAAAATCACATGTTCTTCCTAATATGTGGATGATACATCCAAAACAAATGCAGTAATATCATTGGACATAGGTCACACAGTAAGGGGAGAACATGCACAGGAGGAATAGGAAAAGGGAAGAAAACCTAAAATTTGAATGTGGTTGATGTGCTCTCTCTAGAGGACCAAATAAAGTAATCTTAACCTGACAGAGGCCAGTATGGGAAGGGGAGCAGGAAGTAGTGACGAGGTCTGGCAGATATATACCAATGTGGGTTGCAATACACAAGTGCATGGAAGCAATGCTAGGAATCTCTCTGTATAGCTATCTTTACCTCCAAGTAGCAAAACACTATGTCTTTCTTATCTCCTATGTTTTCTCTTCAACAAAATTGAAGAGCAAGAAGGTGGAACAGGTTCTGCCCAGAATGGGGGTTTGGGGGTGCAGGAGGAGGGGCAGGTGGCCCAAACAACGTATACGTATGTAAGTAAATGTAAAAATGATAAAATAAAAAGAAAAATAAAGACTAAAAAAAAAAGAAATTGTGGGGAAAGGCACTCTAGATGAATATGTCCCAGATGTACTTCATAGTGTTCCCAGAGGGTGGTCGCAAAAGACCCTGGTTAAGAAGATCTCAGGTGTTTGGCATCCTGAACAAAGAACTGGATGGGAACAAACAGATTGCAAAGCAGCAGCCAAGTTTTATTGACAGTGAAAGCAGAAAGTACACTCCATGAGAGGGAGACGGAGTGAGCTCTGAGCAAGGTGATCCAAGAGCAGAACCTGGAGTTCAAGACATATACTTTGGTTAAGGTGCGAATTTGTAGGCTTATATAACGGGTGAGTGAGATGGGGGGCATTTGGGTGGTACTTAGGAGTAGCTTTAGGTGACTGACAGATTTGATTGATAGGTGTATTGTGCATGTGAATTCACTCATAATTGTATGCATGAGATGCAGTCCATACTCGTTAGGTTATAACTAGGGGATCTGGGACAAACAGGTCACTAGCACCAAGAGTTTTCCCTTATGTGCATGACCCAGTTTGGCTAAACCCTTTAGTTTAGTCATCACAGCCACCCAGGATGCTGTGACTAGCTGTACTTACTTTTACCACAAAAGGGGGATTTCTGAGTAGTTTTGGGGGGAGCTAGTCCACCTGTTACCTGCCAGGCAATCTGCAATGAGGCCACCTGTTCCCAATGTGCTGGTTTGTGTACTTTCCCTGAATTTCCTGCCTCAGTAACAACATACTGAACACCAACTGATTTCTATTTCTTCTAGGAGAAATGTTTATGCTCAGTCTTGTATTGGGGTGTTAAGTAACACTCCAACTTTCTTTTTGGGTGTTCAGGAAAATAAAATTCAAATTCAAATTTTGTAACATGAGTATGTATAACAAATGTGAGACAACTATAACTTAATTTCTTTATAAATCTGACATTTTAATGTTTAAAAGATGGCAAATAAATGTCAGTGAATGAACAAGTTATAATGTATTTTGTTAAACTAGTCCTTTGTCACCTATGGTTGGCATGACAGTGCTGTTATTGTTTTGTCTTTTACTATTCATGTATAAATACATGTGCACATACATAATGTTTGTAACCATAGTGTACATACATAATTTGTATCAAAATTTAAAAATCAAATGCACTCTTCTCATTTGATACGTAGAAATAAACATGCACTCACTACTTATTGAGTACCTTCTTTTTTTCCATCATCTTCCTATTCATACAACTCTGTGATTTAGGGATTAAAGATGAAAAATTTACATAGAGTCAAACAATGAAGAGTTAGGACTCTAAAACTTTTAAAATCATCATTCAAAATGACAGCACAATATTTCATCAACGGTATCTACGGCAAGGTATTTAACCATTGCCTTTGGCTTCGCTCAATGCTTTCTTTGCTTTTTTCTTTGGTTTTTGTTGCTGAGATTGAATCCAGGCCCTGTTCATGTGGAGCACATACTCTAACACTGAACTACGTCCCCAGTATCCTTCCCAATGTTTTCTGTGTAACAGCTCTGCACTTAGCCCTCACGTGCAAATCCTTGCTCTAGTCACTGTTCCAAAGGACTTCTTGTCCTAGTTCAATGAATTAACATGTTTTCTCAGCCCTTTGCAACCAGGTTCCAATACAAAGACATGCTATAGCTGGGCAGCAGTGGCTCATGCTTGTAATCCTAGCTACTCAGAGGCCAGGAGGAGTGTGGTTCAAAGCCAGCCCCAGGCAAATAGTTCACAAAATCCTATCTCTAAAAACTCCAACACAAAAAATGGGCTGGCAGAGTGGCTCAAGTGAGTGCCTACCTAGCAAGTGTGAGGCCCTGATTCAAACCCTGGTGCTGCCAAAAAAGAAAAAAATCAGAAAAGTCCTACTTACACTGTTTGTACCCCATCATTCTCACAGAACTTTGGTTGTGTTTCATGCACTGTGGGCCATCTCTAATCCTAAATTATGATTATACTAATTTAGTTTTTTACGATTATAGAAATAAAGGTGCCTGTCAGCTATCTTTGTGTTCTTTACTCATATCTTACTATGGTCCCTACAAATTCAATTCCATTAGTAAATTCCTGGTTATGTGAGGAAATTGGGTATGTGTGTGGAGGGGGAACAGGGGCAACCCATTGTCCCTGGATGTCCTCTACAAGTATCCAAGGATACTCACAATGATGTGGCAGACTGGAGGCTTTGATCACACAATCAAGGGGCCACTCTTGGTTTGCAAAAAAGATTCCTGGGCTGCCTATCACCAGTTAAATCCTACACTGCAGCAATCACTGTTCTTTTCCAGAATTAACATCAGTCAATGTAGATAATTTGATGCTGAAAATATCAACTCATGTTTTCATGTCATCAATAACTTGACCCAGTCTTGTTGATGACCAACCTCTTGTGGGATCCACAGTACAGCACTTTTCCCCCTGCAAAACAAAACCCAAATTTATTCAACACATATTTTAATTAAGAAATCCTAAAAACGAGGACCAGTATAGTTTCAGACACTCTGTTGTAAAGTGTGTAGTCGATCGCAATACCTGGAGAATGATCAAACTTTAAAAAACTGGTTTGGTTACAGTTAAGTTGGGGACACTTTACTAAAGGGTTAAGGTTCACAATGGTAAAGCCAATGGTTTCTTCTCCTGGAGAGTCAGATTGAAAAAAAACTTTCAGTCACTCACAAAGACATGGCTCCTCACTGGAACTGTAGAGATCATGCCCATGGATGGCTCCAGAGTCCATAACAGAGCAGAAGAGTCCAGGGTTTGTGGGGAGCGGATTAAGCTTATGAGAACTGGACACAAGCAAGGCGAGATGCAGTTAATTGCTTTTACCTGTAGGCCAAAATAGGCACAGCTCAGGCTAGGAAATAGGGAAAGGGAAAGTTGTGTTCTGACAAGCTGTAATGCAGGTTTCTCCTGTTACAAAGTCAGGGCTCTTCCAGTGCCTCCACCCTGTATGCTGCTATAAAAGACCCCTGAAGGAGGAACAGGGGTTTTGCCTTTTGGGGGCTTTAATTTGGGCTTTTTGCTTTGAGGGGCTTTTTGCCTTTGAATGTTGGGAAGAAACTTTTACTTTGGGCCTTTTGGTATGGGAAGCTTTTGGAAGGGAAAAGAATTATGAAGGGAAAAATTGCTGAAGGGAAAAGAATTGTTAAAGGGAAAATGCTAAAGAGGGGTGACAGAAAGTCTGCACTGAGTTAATGTAGGCTTCAGAAAGCAAAGCTGAGAAAGAACCTCATACATAGCCCTTAGGAAAGCTGAAGCTAAAGGAAAGCCAAAGCGACCACAGGACAGTGCACAGTGCAAGTCTAAGAACCAAGGCCTTAGGAGTTACGCATGTGCAGGTTGTAGGCGCTGCTGTTTGCAAGTTTGAGCACCAAAGCTTTAAGAGAGCTAAAGAGAGAGGGGACAGTGCAAGCCTGGGGCAAAAGACTTTAAGAGCAATTAAGCTAAAGGACAGCTGAGAGCAAACATGCGACACTGCCAGCCTAAGGAATGAAGTTTGAAGCAAGGTTTTAAAGAACTGCATGGAGTAAGACCTTAAAGAATCTGGAGAAGAGAAGCACTGAGAGTTGTGCATCTCCAGTCGAGCGTACAACACACCTGTCTCCAACTTTCTGTTTGTCTGTCTATCTTGTGTCTTTTCTAAAATCTCCACTCGCCCCCAGTTAAGCCCTGTTAGGCCTAGTAATAACCAAGGAGAAAGCTCGCTCCAGCAAGGGAGGGAGGTGAGAAACAGCTCACCCTTCAAGGGTTTCCATGCAATCCCACACACACCAGAAATAAGGAGAGCTGGCTGGAAGGACAGGAGATTGTTTATGACTGTTTCTGAGAAAGATGGTGGTATGGTCAAGAGTGGCGCTGGAATTCTGGAAAGAATAAAGCACCAAAAAAGCAAATAACTCTCCCCACGTGCCCGGCTCTGCCTGAGTGTCCTGGAGAGACTTCAAGTGGTGGCAAAGCCATCAGGGCTCTTCTTGGAGCAAGAAAAAGAAAAAGACACCTGGGGTGAGTTAGCTCTCCCAGGAACCCCACAGCCTCCCACTTACACCCAACCTGACCTTGAACCACAGAAGGTAGATTTTTGCATGCTTCTTCACCCCAGAATTTCTTTGCACAGCAATTGTAGCACCATTTCAATAAGGTTGGGCACTGGAAAATAATGAAGTGTTGCTTATCACTAGGTTTCAAGTATTGTTAGAAAGCCTCACCATTCCTGCCCCTCAGCACCCCATCTTTAGACAATTCAAGCACACAAAGTCCCCAAGGGCTAGGTCAGGTGCAGGTCCATGCAAGTAGCTGCCATAGTTCTCCCAGTTTATCTCAGGTACTCAGCCCGGGGTGGCCAGGGAAATCCTCATGGGGCATGCAAGCTCCATGCTGCACATTTTCTGACAACTCTGCCAGGGCTGACATCTGGGCTTGAAGTCTCTCCCCAAATGCCTCCCTGCAGTGTGGGCTGTCTGAGGGTTGATGGGAGCCAAACGCTGTTGGGGTCTCAGCAGCGAGGTCCTCGTCCTCCTCCTGAGGCCTGGGTCAGAGGTCTGTAGAGTCTGACGACTCATCTGGTCCTCTGCAGATGACCTCACCCCCTCCAGAGGCGGTTGTGGGGTTCGTGGCTGCAACCAGGGTGCTGGCTCCTTGGAGCCTCCAAAGGCCTCTTGATGAGGTTTCCAGGGAGCACTGGCTGCTGCAGAAGTCCCTGTGGGTCGTAGTCATCAGAGTGGCCCCGTTTGGGTCCAATGTCCCCGGGCTTTGGTGCCCTAGAGCCATCCTTGCCTGTGGGGTCAGGCAGGGTGCTGGGGCCCGTGGTGAGCTCGGCCTTGAGGTAATGGTCTGGTGGACGCAGCGCAGGGCTCCTGGAGGCACCTGGGCTCCAGCCTGGGCAGAGGCAGACTGTACCAGTAGCAGAATTGTGTGTGTTTGCTGTATGTGTTTTCTGTGTGTTTGTATGTTTTCTGTGTGTACGTTGTGTGCTTTGTGTGTATGTGTGTGTTGTGTCTGTGAGTTCTGTGCGCACGTGGGTGTCTCTGTGTGGTTGTTTTGTGTGTGGTGTGAGGGTATTATGTGTGTTTTGTGTGTGATGGGGGTGTTGTGTGTGTGCATACTTTCTGTGTTTTGTATATGTGTGTGTTTTGTCTGTGTGTGTTATGTATAAGTGTGTGTTGTGTATGTGGTGTGTATTGTGTATGTCTGTGTGTGCTGTGAGTGTTGGAGCTGTGTATTATGTGTGCATTTTCTCTGTGCTGTGTGACTGTTTTGTATGTGTGTGATTTGTGTTTTCTGTCTTTGTGTAGCGTGTGTGTGTGTTGTGTGTCATGTGTGTATATGTGTGTGTATATATGTGTGTTCTATGTGTGTGTGTATATGTGTGTATATACGTGTGTTCTATGTGTGTGTATGTGTGTGTTCTGTGTGTTGTGTGTGTATGTGTATATGTGTGTGTGTATGTGTGTATATATGTGTGTGTGTATGTGTGTGTATATGTGTGTATGTGTGTGTATACGTGTGTGTGTGTGTATATGTGTGTGTGTGTGTTCTGTGTGTGCATGTGTGTGTGTCGTGTGTTATCCCTGGTAGGCTCACGGGGAGCCCAGCACCGGGAGGCCGGGCCGTCCTGTCCTGTGCAGGCTCAGCTGCAGCATCTCCGGATCTGGGCCACCGCGGGTCCACCTGTGCTGAGCACTCCAGGGTCACCCACCCACTGTCCAGCAGGAGGAAGCAGTCGCCCTCCTCCCCCTCCTCCAGCATTGCACCCATCTAGCCTCCCTCTCCTCCTCCCCAACCCCCACATAACCCCTCCCCCACCGCCCCCTCTCGCCCCTCCCCTCCAGCACCGCCCCACCCCCACCCCCGCCCCGCCCCGCCCCCGCGGCTCTGCTGCCCGCGCCATTGGTGCGCAGTGGCCGCGGCTGAGGCCAAGGCTGGACCACGTGCACTCTGGAAACTGGATTCCCGCCTAAAGACATGGCGGGGTCAGGAGGGGACACCCGCTCCCGGGTCCTCTGCAGACCCGGGCTGTGGGCTCTCGCGGCCATGTCAAAGGCCTGACCGCCCACGACACCCGGGAGGAACCCGCGGCCAGGGGTCGCTGTCCTCGCGCTGACCCCACTCCCCACCCCGTACCCCGCCCGCCGCGCACGGCCTGCAGGACACGGAGATGGGGGTCGCCCAGGACGGAGCAGCCCCGCCCCATCCCGCCGGCCGGTGTAGCGGACAACGTCCCCGCCGCCGCCACCATGGACGCTCACCAGAGCGAGGGCGCCGGCGGCTGCAGCTTCCTCTGCGCACCGCCGCCCGGACAACGGAGCCCGCATCTTCCCGACCCGGCGCCCGGTGTCTGTGCCCAAAGCCCGGCACCTCAGCCTCTCACCCAGACCCGCGCGGCAGTCGGAGAACCGGGCCCCGCCCCGCGCCGGCGGACACGAGGCCGCCATTGGTCCAGCCGCGTGACTGACGGGGGAAGTGGGCGTGGCTTTCTCAACAGCCCAGGCAAGACAAATGGAAAAGGGCTGGAGGCGGGGCTCAAGCAGAAGCGCCCAAGGTCCCGCCTCTCGGCCCGCGACACGGGGCCGCAATTGGTCCTGCCACGTGAGTGACGGGCGCAGCGGGCGTGGCTTCGCAAGCGCGAGGGGCAGGCACAGAGTCCCAGAGGAAGGTCGTTAACGCCCTTGTCTGACCTCAGGAGCGCAGTTGGGGATCAAGCAAGGGCCTGAGATCTTTCTGACTCCAGAGGACCGCTTGCCTCCCCACCTCCCTGCTGTGTTGAAATGATCTTATGATGACGGATGAGGCAACCAAAACGCTGCTAGCTGTGACACTGCGCAGGTCCCTAATTCAAGACCCAGTTTTCACCTTTTATAAAATTACATTGGTGCGCGATGGTCACCACAAGTAATTTTTGACCCGGCCACGCAGGAGGCCCCGCCCGGGCAGGCAAGTGGGGTAACGGACCAGGCCTCTCCCCTGCCGGCCCATGGCTTCCTTCTGATGATGCACCTGCCCCACGAGTCCAGGACAGAGCAGTTCCATCAGGATTTGATTTGCAACCCCAAAAGTCACCCTGACAAGATGCAGCTCAGCATGCCAGCTCCCACCTGGAGCACGCGCTTCCTAATTCATGCCCACCTGGAGCATCTGGAGCCCACTGGGGCACAGCCCAGGCGTGAGGCCAGGGTCAAAATCTTTTGTGTCGTGGTGAAGAAAGCTAGTGTCCAGAACACTAAAGAAGCACAATGCCCGAGAAATACAGTGCCTATGTGTAAATAAGTAAAAAAATTCACCCGAAGACTAAGCGCAGGTGACTAATGAGACCGTTTCCAATTCCCGATGAAAGAGCCCATCTTCCTCAGATGGACTATCAATACTGAAGCATGTGATGGCCCCTGGGGTGGGCAAAAACAGAGGTTTAGGTTGCTAAATTTTCCTTGATTTGTTGAGAAAGAAATGTGATGCTGAGAAGGGACTACTTATGCAGCAGAAAGAAAATAAATTAGATGTGAATGAATCATAATTTGTTTCCTGTCTAGAGGAAGCTCTATGATTTTCCAAAATTTATTCTATACTTAGGAACCTCTGTCTTCCACTGCTTAGGAAACGCTGAGTTTTCAAAAATATGACCCCAACATCAATCATGCATGGCCTGCATCTCAGAGCTTCTCTTCAGGCTTGAGAAAGAAACATTGTTACCATTTAAGAAAAAAAAGGATGATCCTCGATCTTGTGGTTGCTCTGTGGTTGGAACTTTGAGTTTTGTAGGAAGGAGGAAAAAAAAAAAAGCATCAAACTCTGGTCCCAAGGATGAGAATCAAGCCCCATGCAGAGATGCACAAAGGGATTTTATGTTGCACTTTGTCTAGGGATCACTTCCCAGCAGTCAGACAAATTAATAGAAGCAGAGAATGCTGACAGAATAACTTCATACTTCCTCCTTCTGCCTTTTCCTTCCCTTTCCCTTCTGCTACCCTCACCCTCTCACCACAAGCTTCCTACTCTTAGGGAAGAAGGCGTAGGTC